CTCCTCCTCCTCCTCCTCCTCCTCCTCCTCCTCCCTTCAATGTTCTGATCAATAGCTCCTCTTGTCGCACCCACCACGTGTCAGTAGGGCGGGACGGACGTTTCGCCGGAGACTTCCTCACTGTCCATGATCCTGAAGCTTGATCTTGCAACAGATGCAAGCCGACTCCGAGACGGGAGGCGGCGGGCCAGCCGCCGAAACTAGTCGGGGCCTAGACCCGTCCAAGTCGCCCCCGCGCGCAGCATGATCGCGCGCGCCCTGGTCGGCCCAGAGCGTTTGGCTCTCGGCAGCTTGGCCAACAGCCCCAAAAACTTGGCTCTCGGCGACGGTCTCCCTCCGGTGCTTGGCGGACGAGATCGAACTTCGGCCCCGCTCCCTCAACGCTCGCGCCCTCGCGAACGAGAGGCGGCGGCCCCGCCGTCGCGAAAGAGCAGGCCGAGGCCCGTCCACAACAATGAAAAGACCGGACGTGGAGCCGCCCGGAGTACGCGTGGGCGCCGCCGACATGAGCGAGAAGCAGGGCGCGCACTGATGCGCGCCCTGTTCGGCCGCGTCGACAGCCCCGACAGCTTGGCCCCCAGCGGCTGGGTCGACGGCCCGGGAGCGCGACTACCCGCGGCGGGCGTCCTCTACCCCGAGATCCTGGCGTCTCAATGTTTTCGAGCCGGGCGTCCTCGCCTTTTTTCGGGCCCCAAGGCCCTCACCGATCGATTCAGCGTGAAAAGCACGACGCAGACAAAGGGGCAATTTTTCGCTACGTCGGATCTCAAGGTGCGCTGCCTTTCTGCCGCCATGCCCGTGTTCGGCCGAAGGTTTTCTTGCCGAACGGTCGCAAAGCAATCGCCGTTGCCGGCGTGGCAAATGCTGTTCATTTCCACGGAATGTAATTCACTTCCACAAAATGCATAGACCCGCCGTTCGCCGCCCCGGCAGGAACAGCGGCGGCGGAAGGACGCCTGCATCATGTTCAACGGCGACAAGATGCCCATCGGACTGAACGCACCCTGATGTGCGCCGCCACCTGAAAACGCAGCTGGCGACCGCTGGGTCAACGATGGTCTTCGCTTGGGGTGCGGACATCATCGCAAATGTTGACGGGGACTTGTGCAGGGCTGGAGCCAGCGGCTTCCCTGCTGCCCCCCGCGCTGGCTGGCGCAACTGCCGCAGCTTGCGCCCGCTCGAGGGCCACCCGCGCATCCTCGCCTGACTCGGGGACTGCGGCGCGCCTGCGTCGGCGCGCCTGCATCCTGAAACGACGGCGTGCCCCCACCTCGTCGAATCGGCCCTCGGTCCTGCGCCCTCCGCCCTGCGCCCTGCTGCTCTGGCCATGCGCCCTCGGCGGCAGCCTCGGGCTCCGGCAGCCTCGCGCGCCATCTGTGCTCCCCACCCACACGAGAAGCGACCACCAACTATACCCAGCTGAGCAGACGCCAGTCGCAGCAGTGCCAACCCATGCAAGCAGAATGCGGCCGCCTGTGATGAAGCACGGGGTTGGTCTATTTCCTAGCCTCGGGCGCCATCTGTTGCTGGGTGCGCTACGGCAGCGGGGCCGCCAGCTGTTTTGCCGAGGTCGTCGGGTGACCGCCCGGCGCTCAGCGGCAAGGCCGAGATTGTTAGATTCCCATGGGGTCACCTTGCGAAGTACCTCGGCACTGCCTGCAGCACCGTCCCAAGCGCCAGCGGGTACACTCACAGTCAAACCTTGTTGCGGGAGAATGCCATCGCCACGACCTCTCACCCCGCGGGCAGGCGCCATGTTGCAGAAGACCATGTGCTTCGAAAGCAACAACATCGTAAAGACCCACATGATGCCTCGAAAGGAAGCTAACATGTTGATTGCATCGACGGGAAAACAAGCAGTGGCAATTGGGAATACCAAAAACCAGCAATTTCAATGCACGCCCCCCCGCGCGTCGCAGTTCCTCGCGCCAGCTCCCCTGCGGCCGAGGCGCGTCTGCACATATCGACGCGCCACAGCGGCCGGGCCGCCGCATCCTGAGGGCACCGCTCCCTCGGTGACCGCCCGCCCCCACGCGAAGCACCGCGGGAGGAGTGGGTGGGGATCGCCGATTAGCTGCCCCATTGAAGGCGACCGCGGTGCCGCCCTCGCCCACGCGGGGTACAGTCAACTCGTGCAATAAGGACCCACGATAAGGATACAAGGGCCTTGGAAGGCCACATCGACACTTTGCGAGCGGGACGCGGCCTGCGAAAGCGGCCGAAGATGGGTACCCTTGGGAAGGTTGCCCAACCTTCCTATGCGGGTTGACTGTACCTGGAGTGCGGGAAAAAGGCGCTTTCGACGAAGAACAATTAACTCTCCCCCGCGCCCAGAAACTGGGCTGACGATCGAGCTGCCACCCGCCAGTTTTCCCTGGGCAAGGCCCCTCGGGTACAGGTGCCAGCGGAGACCGCGGGAGGGGCGGGCTGATGCCCTGGGAGGCTGCTTTGGCGCAGGCGGCACCAACACCGCCGAGAGGCCATGCTGCCGCTTGAGCTCGGCCAGCTCGGCCTCTGGCGCCTCGATGGCTTCGGCACCCCTGCTGATGGGCTCTTGCAGCTCCGCGTGCGTCATGTGACCACTGCTCGGGGCCGTCTTCTTGCCCTCCCGCAGCGCGCGGACTCCGCTCTCGATCGAGCGGAGGAGGATGCGCATCTGCTGCGGCTGAGGCCGCCATTGCAGGAACTCCTGCTGGATCGCCGAGCGTTCCGCAGCAAACCGCCTCGCTCCTGCTGGACTGCCGCGTGGGTTGCATGTCGAGGTCATCCGCGTTCATGGCTCCGTCGTCAAGCGCGATCTCAGGTGGGCCTTGCTGGCGAGCCTGCTGCAGTTGCTCCAGCAACTGCTGGACCTGAGCCGCGACCTTCTCCACCGCGGGCAGCGTGACGTTGAAGGTCCAAATTCTGCGAACGCCGCGGCGACGTGGACGGCTCTTGAGCACGACATAGCTTGGGATACACGTGCCCTGGGCCACCCTGCGCTGGAAGCTGGAAGCGCTACTTACTCTCTTCGAAGATGACGAACTAATGGACCGCTTCCGCTGGTGGACTTGCTCTGACGAGCCTTTGCTCTGCCTGTTCCTCCTCCTCCTCCTCCTCCTCCTCCTCCTCCTCCTCCTTCTCCTCCTCCTCCTCCTCCTCGCTCTCCTCCTCCTCCTCCTCCTCGCTCTCCTCCTCCTCCTCCTCCTCCTCCTTCCGCTCAGAGGCAGAGCTAAGGTTCATGAACCACTTCCGCTGGTGGACTGGGCGGCGGCGACGCCTGGGGCTGCTGACCCCCCGGTGGCGTGCAGACCCGGCGCCTGGAGGCGAAACCTGCCACGTGCCAGCGGTGCTCGTTTGGTGCTCAAGAGTGAAATCTGGAAGAGGAGAGAGGGGGATGAGGATGAGGAGGAAAAAGAGCAGGAGGAAAAGGAGGAGGAGAAGGAAGAGGGGGGAGGAGGAGGGAGGAAGGAGGAATGAGGAAAGAGGAGGAAAGAGGAGGAGGAGGAGGAGGAGAAGGAGGAGGAGGAGGCCACCCACTTGTGCCCGAGTCGGACCCCTCGGGCTGGCTTTGAGGCCGGAACGGGGTAGAGAGGATAACCCCATAGCCGCCAAGTCCGCCAAGTCCGTGGGCGGTAGGGAAGAAGAGGAGACAAGGCCTCCCATTTATACATATGCACAAATCTACGTGTATACATTTCTGCACATATATGTGTACAGACATGTAGGTACGCACATATACATAACAGCGAAACGACTGCGAGTACAATGCAGGCAGTGACGATCGTGCAACTTTGACGCTGGCCAACTGAGGGTGCTTAACTTCAGACTGTCTGCCCAGACGATCATGGCGAAACTGGAGACGGGAGCCGTGAGCATCCGAGGGCGGACCCGAGGGAGTCTTGGGTCGCGTCCTGGGCCCCGGTTCTGAGGGACCATCAAAGAGCGGTCCAGGAGGGGATCTGCGCGAGATGTTTTTCCCAACCATCCTGTGGTGTTGGGTCCTCGTTTTGAAGAGACAACGCCCGA